GCAGCTCATTAAAATGCTCTATCAAGATCAGCAAGCAGCAGTCAGAATAGATGGAGAGACATCAGACTGGTTTTGCATCAAGCAAGGAGTCCGTCAGGGATGTGTGCTGTCACCGTATTTGTTCAATCTGTACGCCGAAAATATAATGAGAAATGTAAGAGATGATATAAACAAGGAACAATATGATGCCCTAAACATCGGTGGTCATGAAATACCAGAAATTCGTTATGCTGATGATACAGTATTACTATCAACATCACAAAGTGGTTTAGAAAACTTATTAACCTCACTCCAAAGAAATAGTGAAAATCATAACTTATTTCTTAACATAGCAAAAACAAAGATAATGCATACAAACAAAACTGCCATGGAGAAGGAAATATATGTTAATAAGGAAAGATTGGAAGTGGTGGAAAATTTCGAATATCTTGGGTCACTGGTTACCAACAATGGTGACACAATGAAAGAAATTAAACGGCGACTATCAATTGCTTTTCAAAGACTAAAACAACTGAATAAATTATGGAATTGTACAGATAGAATTACAAAGGTCAGAGAGCATGCATCTTTCCCATTGCAACATACGCCCGTGAGACCTGGACACTTACTAAACAAGCGGAACAGCGCATAAATGCATTTGAGTATAAATGTTACAGACAGGTTCTAAGAATATCTTGGGTAAAGAAAAGAACAAATGCATCCATACTTCAAGAGCTGAATATTGAAGAGGGTTGGCTAGTAAAGACAATAAAACAAAGAAAATTGAAATATTTTTGTCACTTGAAACGTCATGGAAGTCTAGAGAGAACAATAATGGAGGGGTATATGCCTGGGAAGAGAGGAAGAGGAAGGCCAAGGAGAAGATGGGTGCAGGATGTGGCAGATGATCTCCAGATGGGTGTATCAGACGCAGGACATCTTGCTCATGATAGGAAGGTTTTCCGGAGGGTTGTTATGGCAGCGAGGTTCCGCGAGGGACATGCTACTGAATGAATGAATGAATATGTAATGATAAGGAGAAGAACAAGTGACGTATGGACTGTTGTGTACGCTCTGACTGTGTTGGTTGAGTTCAGTTGAGTCAAGAATTGACATCTCAGCACTCGGGGCATTCCCATGCATGCTACGTCCTCATATTCAGCTGCTAGCGCAAAGTTCCAATACTGATGGTCATCATCATCATCAGGTGCCTTGCCGACTGGCGTGGGCGATCATGTCTCTCCATAATCCACGATCTCCTGCAGCATGTATCAGTTCGTGTGCCGACACACCTCCGTGCCATGGAAGAAGACTGTCAAGAATCTTCCTTCTCTCGTTGTCTTCCTCTATCCCTCCTTCCACAGATCTTTCTAGTGGTCACAACATGTTCTATTTTCCCTCTTCTCATAACATGGCCGAAAAATGTTGACTGTCTCCTTCTGATATCTGTGATAAGTTGTCTTTGGGCTGCTGCCTCTCTCAAAACCTCTTGGTTGCTCTTTTTAGCTGTCCAAGGTATTCGAAGCATTCTTCTGTAAAACCACACCTCTGAGGCCTCAAGAAATTGTTTGGCCTGCCTACCGATTGTTCAGAATTCACAGCCATATGTCAAAACTGGATGCATGGTAGCAAGCAAGAATTCTTTTTCTAACTCTCAATGACAAGGATATATTCCACAAGATGTTCTTAATTTTTTAAAATGCAGTTTTTGCCTGTCCTTTTTTGTTTCTTATCTCAGTTATGCATCTTCCATCTGATGTTATCCATGTGCCCAGATACTTAAATTTCTGTACTTGTCCTAAAATAACACCATCGACTTTTATTACACATTTAGGAATAATTGGTTTATTTGATACCGAAATTACTTCTGTCTTGCCATTATTCAAACTGAGGCCCATTATGTGTAGTGAGCCGGCCAGACCATCTGGTTACACCCAGATGCCTCATGCTCTCCATATTATAGGAATCTTTGGCTCTCCTCCGAACTTAGTCCTCAAATTATGGCGGCAAAACAAATATTCTAAGAGGGCCTCAGTCGTGTGAAAAATGCAGACTTCCTCTGACGAACTCATCGCCACTCATCCAGCCAATCTTTCTGCTTGTTTCTAACCCACTACGCTGGCATCGCCTGGAAAAAAGATCCAAAGTATGCTAACTACCCGTGACATTTCCAGTGAAGCTTACTGACAGTATTGATTTAGTTGTGTTTAGGGATAGGGATGCACGAGCCATTTGCTTTGACGGCAGTGAGTGGGTACTTGACATTGAGAACGTGTCATACATTTTAGTATGAGAGGGACAATACTCTTCGTCAGGCATCATGTGAAGGTGGTTGTGGCGCAATGCAAAAAACACACACACACAAAGTCAATGCATTCAAGATTATGGCAGTAATGGATATAAAACAAGGAAAGATTTTCACAGTGCTCCAACATTCGATCCTCTCGGTGAAAGACCGGTGATTTCCCGGACTTGGAATGCTTTCTGTATCAAACAGTCAGTTGATGAAACATGAAGGCATTTAGAGTGAAGCCATAAGTGTAATTCTGTGATGTACAAGAGACACCACGGTAGGAGGTATGCGATATACACTTGCACTGCCTTGTACAGATAGGTTTAAAGTGCTGCAAGCAAAGTAATATTTCAAGAGTAACTGCAGACAGGAAGCACATCCTGAATGAAGCTCTAGATGTAGCCCTAAGGGTCACAAACTGAAAAGAGAAAGGTCTTGGATTGGGCAAGCTGAAGACACAATTAACACAATTAGACATGTGTGCAGGCTTGATAATATTGGGCGAGGTAGGAGTGAGTGGTTCAACGTGTCTCAGCAGCTACCAGACGCGTAAGTTTTAAATCACATTGGGCTGTGACTGCAGGGGTTGGTCAGCTGATGCTGCAGAATCAGAAGCAAATGACGCTCCTAAAGCTGTCCCCCCTCCCCAGCCCCTCCCTCACAGATGATGTTATCATTTATAAATATGGCTCTGTTGAGAGGCAGACGAAGTGCATGGGATTTCTTAGCAAATAGTATTAATATTCTTTAATGCAACTAAGCCTAGCATACGATACCACATCATCTAGTTTGAGAATGGAGGTGGAGGCGATCATTGCAGCCTCCTGCTGACCTGAGAGCTATCTGTGCACACATGTCATTGTTGTAACTGACTGGCAGAGTATGAGGTGGAAAAACAAGGTGGAGACAGGTATAATCTGTGCTGAGTGGGAAGCATCTCATCAAAGGTCCCGAGTAAACAGCGTCCTTTTGGGTATTTTTCTCTAGTTCATGACAACGTTTTGAGAAAAGAAAAGCCTCTGCACAAATAGGTGGTTGTGTTAAGAGGTTCAAGTTTAGGCGAGTTTGACCCCATTAGATAGATAAGTCAGTTTTCAAAAACCCTAATAGACTGCCATTGGAGTGGCTAGACGTGATGACCATAACCTCCATATTGAAGTCACATTGGTGACCTTGAGAACTGAAATGCACCGGCACTGGTTTAAAGGCAACAGTTCTGCATATCAGAAAGATGTTGCCTGAACCAGTCAGCTAGTTGTTGCCCCTTTTCACCAATTTCTTTCATACAACATCGTCTGCTATTAATGGCGCCAATTATATTGCAGCCTTTTGTGTTAGACTCTTGCTTGCCAGTTGATAAGCTCGTTGATTATTTATCTTCTTACTTGTTGTTATGGATCATGTCACATAGTTATGCCTATCCACAGAATTTTGTCTTGTTTGTTGTCAATCATTCTGACCCAGGTGATCTTCCATGCCATTATAAACAACTGTCCAGCATCTTCATCTTCATTGATCTCTTTTCCAACCGTCACTGTATATTCCCCACCACTAAGCAAACAGTTTGCTCACTGAAACGTATGAAGGATAATCAGGGACGTCGCAAGCTAGCTTGGTTTGGCCATGTGGTGAGACATGATTCGATTGCAAAGACAGTGCTTCAATGAACATTGGGGGAGGGGGAGGGGTGGGGTGGAGAGGAGATTAGTCGAAGACAAGGATGGCAATGAAGAGCCTGGAATGACCACGTCCAGAAATGGACAGGACTACGTTATCATAAACTGATTCATCAAGAGGAAGACAAAGAAATTTGGCGGGTTTTATGTGCTAGTGTTTCCAACGATACACATCCACGACCCTAATGGGTCAAAGGTTATGTTATGTTATATATTCCAGTTGTCTCCTTCTTATGACGGGACCAATAAATATAGATTGTCTCCTAATTGTAGTAGTCAGTTCTCTTCCGAAGTTAACGTCCTTCGAACGTCTTCGTTGAACATATATGTTCTAGGTGTTCTCATCATTCCACTTTGAAACTACTTTTGCATACATTTTGTCTAAGAGCCGAATTGTCAATGATTCACTTCTATACATAATGGTTAGCTTTTAAGAACTCCCCTTTTCATCTCAGTTAACAAAGAAAGATTCTCCATGTTGTGAAATACTGCCCTTGTTTGAGCTAGTTTACATACAACTTCTATAAAACCTCTTCCATCAACTGTTTTTTAGAGTAGCCAAGAACTGCGGCGTCCGTGGCTAAGGCGTTGCGAGTCCGAAACCCACTGCAGGCTGCGTGGATTTTTATCGTGGTATGGGATGTCGCAGGTCAACCCAGACTAAAATAGGTACCAGGATGGGCTGTCCTGGGAAAGTAAAGACAGCCGGCGTAATGCTGACCACATTACCCACAGAGTGATGATGGTCTGTAAAAATATGGGACGCTCTGCCCATATGCCCGATGCGCCGAAAGGCGTGAAAAGGGATCTTTACTTTACTTTTTTACAAGAACTGGTCTTGCTTCAGAACTGTCCTATTTTCTTTGATCTTGCATTTTCGAGAGCAAATTTTTTTACACCGGCCTGCTATATGACGTTTAATTTAAATAACTGTACGTTTTTATCTCACTCTACTTTTAGAAAAGAACCTCGTAATGCGGCAGACAAGAGAATTTGACAGAAGCCAATGAAGAAAGACTTAAAGTAGCACCCGCTTTAGAATTATCACAGACATGTTTCCTGAAATTAAACCTGTGAGTAACATTTTATTTTATGTTTAAGAAGTGCCAGGAACAGTGGCGCTGACATGGAGAAAATGCAGGGGTGGGGGTGCTCAGCCCCAGTACATATTTTCGGGGACGGAAAGAGGGGGGGGGGGTCCCTAGTGGATATAAAATTATATTAAACTAATCAATGATAATACAATAATAATGGGAGTCGCTGTGGCAGAGTGGATAGACGCTCACCGCGGATCGGCAGGTCGAGGGTTGGCTCCCTGGCGAAGCCAGACATTTTTTTTTATTACTATGGCTTCCAGGTCGACCCAGCCTTGAGTGGGTACCGGGTGCAGTCCCGGGAAGTAAAGGCGGCTGGTGTGATGCTGACCACATTAACCATATAGTGCCGATTAGTATATAAAATATAGGTATAGCCCTATATGCCCTATACGCCTAAGGGCGTGAAAAGGGGTCCTTTACTTTACTTATAATAATAATAATAATAATAATAATAATAATAATAATAGTAATAATAATAATAATAATAATAATAACAATGTACTTAAAATTATCAAACAAGAACATGGTTGGTGTAGTGGTAGGTTTTTTTTTCTGGGGGGGGGAGGGTTGGGGGCGCCCAGGGTGCCGCGTTCTCCTATGTTACTGCACCCCTGGTCATAAAAAAAAATGGCTAATTATATAGAAGCGTCACAGTGGGACTTCCGGGGCCTAATTCTGGGGAGGGGGATGGGAATGATCACATAATAGACCCCCCATATTCTAATAAACAGCATGCCACAAAAGGCGACTAATTGAAGGGTTGGAAGTGGAAGAACAGAGAGAGAGAAGTTGAGTTGGAAAGAACTGTCGAATAAGAAAGAAAGAGAAGGCGAGACAGGAAGAGAGTGACAGACGGACATAGATAGAGAAAAGGGTGAGAAAGTGACAGACGGAAAAAGAAGAGGGAAACAACAATTAGAAAGGGACATATGGAAGAAGAGAGAGTGTGAGAGAGAGAGAGAGAGAGAGAGAGAGAGAGAGAGAGAGAGAGAGAGAGAGGGGAGGGATGTAATTCAATTCAGATAAAGAGAGGTGGGGGGAAGAGGTGGGGGGGGGGCGGAGAGAGATGGTGAGTTGAGTTGGGTTGAGTCAAGAATTGACATCACAGCACTCGGGACATTCCTATGCATTCTCCGTCATCACCTTTAGCATCCTGCTCAGATTTCCAATACTGATGGAACCGGTCACGATCTGGTTAAAAGTCCGTCTTGCCTTTCCTAGTGAGCCGGCCCATATCCTCTGGTTACACCCAAGTGCCTCATTCTGTCCAGGCCATATTAATCTTTTTTCTTTACTGATTCCGTTGCTTTTTCCCAAAGGGCCTTGACCACGTCTGCCTTGTCATGTATCAATTCACATCCCAGCGGTGTAGATTCGGCCAATCTGTCTGTCTGTTCATACCCACCACACCGGCATGGCTTGGAGAAAAAAATCCAAAGTTTGCTCACCACCCGTGACTTTTCCAGTGAAGCTAGCCAGTCTGCTCGAAGCATCCCTGCCATCACCTTTTTCAGCATGCTTTCAGAGTCTGTTACAATTTAGACATGTGTATGCATCTTGTTCTCTAGCCACCGAAGAGCTGCGGTTACCGCCTCCACCTCCATACTCATAATAGATGTTGTGGTGTCATATGATAGGCTGTCTTGTACTAAAGATTTTCCATTGGTTTCGCTACGAAGCCCCCGGCACTTGTCTTTCCTCTCAACACTGAACCATCTGTATAGATAATCAGATCACCTGGACGTGAATTGTTGTGGATCAACTGTTGGACTTTAACCTCCGTAGCACCCGCTGGCCACTCTATGACCACCTGGCCCAATATTATCATAACCCTACACAGGTCAGACTTGTCCTCTGATACTCTAACCCACTCCTCTCCTCGCACAATGTTCTCCAGCATGCATACTTGTCTTAGTGTGTCTTCTGCTTGAGCCATCCACAATTTCCCCCTTTTCAGCCTCAGACCCTTGGCTGCAGCCAAAGCTTCATACAGAGGGTGTTCCCTGTCTGCAGCTACTCTGAGGTATGACTTAGCCTGCAGCACCTTTAGCCTGTCTTCCCCTCCTATATACAAGAACATCATCTGCAAATGTCGATATTCTGCCAACTCCAGGTTTTTCCAGGCAGGCAATCTTGCTCGTTTAAACATTGAATAGTATAGGTGAAATTGCAGATCCCTGTGGTAGTCCAGGAGCTATAATACATGGTTCAGAGGTCCATTAACCCAGGCGGAGAGATACCGGGCGATTATACAAAACAGCTGCTATCCAGTTCACCAACCAAGGACAGACTCCCTTCTCCATAAGCTATTTCATCAAGATACTGTATCTGCCTCTGTTGTAAGCGTCTTCTAAATTGAGTGCCGCTGCCCCGTTTCCTGTCGGTTCTAAAAACCTTCAAAGATATCAAACGCAAACGTAGCTGCATTTGACTATGATTCCTTCTCCGGCCGGTAACTTTCCAATCCCCGTGGAAGGAGATTACTCGGTTCCAAAAATCCTTGTAGCTCACCCGCCACTATCTTCTTCAGCACTTTACCAAAGGTGTTTTTTAGGGTTTTGATCCTAAAGCTCCAGAGTGTTGAATGATTCTTGCCAGGCTTAGGAAGTGGAATCAGGTAGCTGTGCATCCACTCTTTTGGGACTGAAGCTGTCCTAATGCTCTGATTGAAGCAGGCAGTCATCTCCAACAAGTCTACATCACTCATGTCTTTCCTGTGGGAATATCTTACCCCGCCGGGCCCGGGCGCAGTGTCTTTCGCCTTTTTCAGAACACGTTTTACATCTTCCACCTGTATGATGTCTTCATAAGGTTTGTTTTTTAAGATGGCTGCCAGGTTTTCTCTAACTCTATCTCTATTATCTCCATCATTGTAATCTGTCTGTGAAATGAACCTTTTCAGGAAAGGCTTTCCCTTCTCTTTGTCTGCAGTTAATAGCATACCGTCATCTCTAGTAGGCGTCCCATCATTTAAACAGACAAGGTCTGAATCAACCATGGCGTCAGCGAGGGCAACTCCCTGTCGGTGTTCACCAGTACTATCCCATTCATTGTTCCGTGCATTGAAATCCCCACAAATGAGGAACCTGTTGCCAGGAATTCCCTCCAGGTCTTTCAGCCAGTCCTACTGTTGTCTTGTAACTAAAGAGCCCACGGCAGCATATACATTAATTATGTTCCAAAGTAGGCCACTAATCTCCATTTGTATTCCCTGTACCTCTCTAGCATCATTGTTCCACAGACTCAGATCCAGCACAACATGTTTCAAGCCATCCTCTGCCAGCAGATATTGCCCATCTCTCCTATGATGTCCAGCAGAATTTACGTAGCTGACATATCCAGGGCAATGATATTTATTTGCATTCAGCTCCTGAAGCATGATTACATCAGAGTCGTAAATTATTCTCTCTAATGTGGGCCCTCTCCGTCTGGCACTACGCCAGTTCCAAAAACACACTTTCACATGATTGCACCCCAGCTGTTCTGTTTTTCGCCTAAATCTCCTGGCTCCTGCCCGTCTATTTCTCTGCTTTCTTTTCTCACAATTTCCTCGTTTTCTCCTCTTCACCCTCTCTTTGCTGCTTGCTGAAGATAACGTCAAGCGCTGAGCACGTGCTCCGTAGCTCCGACGATAATTCTTATTAAATGAAAATGAAAAATCCATATAGTGAAGTTGTTATGGAGCAGGAAGTAATTGGTCTCCCTAGTGAAGCCTGCTTGCTAGGGAAGCGGCAATGGATGTCCTTGTGGAGTCAATACGATTGGCGCCGCCCCTACCGCTGACCAGACGTCCACGTTCACGACTACCTATCCCACAGCCATTCAGCTCTCAGCACGTAGATCCACTTTAGGCTTGGTTTTTTTAAATCGAGGTTGTCTCCTCTGGATCCGTTGTTTTGTCCCAGGACCGCGAGGTCCTGTTTAAGGAGGGTCACCTTTTGAAGGATGTGCTTTTTCAGTCTTACTGGAAAAGGGGGAAAAAAAAGGGGGGGGGGGGAAGAGAGAGAGAGAGAGAGAGAGAGAGAGAGAGAGAGAGAGAGAGAGAGAGAGAGAGAGAGAGAGAGAGACGAACAAATAGAGGCTCGCAAATTATTTAGGTGGACAGACACAAAAATAAATCCAGACAGAATGGAATCCAAGGAGATAACCCAGATGAAATCATAAACAGGCTATGGTGGATGGCGTGTCTGAGCTACCTTCCGACCAACAGTTCGCCAGGCAGAGAAGACAGCGAACCTCGGGAGCCTCAGATGTAAGTAAAATCGCCGTTTGTCCGTTTCAGTCTGCCATGGAGCCGTTGTGGTGTAGCGGCTAGAGTTCACTTGCGGATCGGTAGGTCGTGAGTTCAAATCCAAAAGGAACCGAACTTTTTTTTTTTTTTTAAAAAAAAAAAACTTAACTTGGCTACCAGGTCAACCCATCCTTAAATCAGTACCAGGTAAAGTTTTGGGAAGTAAAGGATACCGGCGAGATATGTCGACTCGTATATAAAATATATGTTGTGCACTCTTTACCCAGTATGGCTGAAGGCGTGAGAAAGAGTCTTTTATACATAAATCCTTCAGGGACCGTCTCCACAGGAAAAGGTTGCCTGCAAAGATCTCCACTATTGTCTGTCTCTCGGCATGGTTGTACACCAGAGGAGGGAAAACTTTTTTTTTTTTCGCGGGCAAAATTTGGAATTACCACACACACACCACACACACACATATATATATATATATATACATACATATATATATATATTTACACACACACACATACATACAAATCCATTATAAATTTCCAATGCAATACATTTTTAAAGGATAATGTAAGATTATACTCTCTCGCTACTCTTTCGAACGGGACACACTTACCCACTGAAGCCCTTCTATGTATTCCTAAATTTGTCAGTTAAGAGAAAAAGGACGATCGCTGCCTTGCATTTTATTATAAGTCCGCCGACAGACACTGTTTCCCAATGTCTGAGTTCGATTTTGTTAGGAAAACACGTGTAGCGGACAAAGATTTGGCAACATCAGTTTCTCTTTACCCCTTTTTAGGTTATCGTTGTTTTTGTGTTTGTTGTTTTGTTGTTGTTGACATTTGGAATCCCCCCCCCCCCCCCCCCTCCCCCCCCCCTCTTGCGTTGTGGTGCTTTTTTGTGAGCTCAGGGGCTAGATTATAAAGTAATTTTACGCTAGCCTCTGGGTCAGTAACAATTAGTCCGTGGGCCAGTTTTGGCCTGCAGGTCATTGTTTGCCCAACCCTTTTGTACTCTCCGAGACAGCAGTTCGTCGATGCAACAACCCCTCCTGGTCTAAATTTCAGGTTGTTGAGAAACGTCAGTGACCCCAGTATAACCTTACGAGTGTACGGAAAATACTGAGAATTGAACATTCAGATTCTCAACCTCGTCAAACGTTATGTATACTCAGCCCTACTATATGACGCAGAAACCCAGGCAAGGAACAAGCAACTAGAAAATCGAACTGAGTCTCTAGAGATGTGGGTATATAGAAGAATATGTCATATTTCATGGAAGCAAAAACAGTCCAATTCAGAGGTTGTTGAAAGGGTACAAATAGACAGAGAATTACTGAAAGAGATAAAACAAAGAAGGATTTGAAATACTTTGGTACATTTACTTTACTGGAGGGAAAGGTCGAAGATAAGAGAGCAAGAGGGAGGCAATGATACAAGTGGAAGGACAGCATCAAGAGATGGACGGGCAGCAGTCTGAGATAATGTACAACCAGGGCAAGAGACAGAGCGTGTTGGAGATCCATTTCCGTCAACCTTCACTGTGGAGTCGGCACCTCATTGATGACGATTCTCCACCTGGAGGTGATAGTTGCTCAAACTGCCACCCTGCACGGGACAAACTGCAAGTACAAGTTGGGACTGTATACGTTGCTCTTGTGTGTATGTCTTGAAAGCCGTTCCTGAGAACTTTGTCCCAAATTGTGCACAGTATTCTCAAGGCTCATTATTCATGACATTTCTTCAGCATGGCTCTCTGTGGCAGCTGGTATCAGGGGAGGCCTGTCAGAAGGTCATTCCGTCTCATCTCTTGCTCTTAAATGAATTGCGTAACTCCCTTTTGTCCTGATCTCTTAATTTAATTTTGTATTTGAATATTTTTTTTTAATAATTTATTCTTGTTACACCGCAGCGGCTCTTCTAAGTCAGCACATTTCAAGTCTCCCTGTGGGTTCCGAGGCGCTATTTGGATGCAAGTAAAAAAATATACTCACTGCAATCCTAATAAGCATCTCGTAAAATGCGACTAATTAGGGGTCTTTTCTTTAGTGTCGGAGCGAATCTGCCAGAATTTTGAATAAGAAATCGACATCATAGCCCTCTGGACTCTCCCATAAGCACTCCGCCCCCATCTACAACAGCAAGCGAAGAGTTCAGATTCCTATGGCACCAGTAACTGTCTGATTGTATATCCGTCTCGCCTTTCTCGTAAGTGTTGAGCGTCAGAAAGATTCCATGGAAATCCAAGCAGCGCTATTGTACTCACACCGTAATGATCTGCCTGTGCCTCCGCACTGTTCATTTGCTCCCAAATGGTGCTGAATAGGCCAATCTATCCATCTGCTAATTTCCGAACACATCTGCATTACCCGGAAAAAAAAATCCAAAGGATGCTAACTACCAGGGTTCTCTGAAGTTATACTTGCCACTCTGCGCTGAGCATGCCTGTCTCCGTGTTGCTCAACATGCTCTGTGAGTCTCTTACAATCACTTCATGTGTGTTCAGCTGATTCTGAAGCCAGCGGAGGGTAGTCATCTGCCAGAGAACTGAAGTATCATCTGCATATAAATAAGCTGGATCGGTAAAACGGATTTGCAGGCAACACTCAAATTCTGAAAGAAGACTAAATACCAGAAGTGGACAAACAAGCAGAGCCTTGCCCGGGACTGTGCAGCCGTGAACACAGCGAAGAAGATCTCATCTCAGTCATGACCTTACACTCTTTAGATAATCGGATAATTCCATTTCCGACATCACGGCAAACGGGTAACCCTCATAGTTGCTCCTTTCCTGGGCCAATGAAAACTATTCATAATGTCTATCACTGTCCCTTGTGGAAAACACACACACAAAACACAGACTTCAGTCTTAGGAAACCCAACAGCATTTACGTAAATTAAATGTACAAGGCAGCAGTCAGAAGTGCCATCACAAACAGTCTGACAAAAGAAATGCAGTTCATCGTCGATGGAAGCAGCAGCTAGAATAGACCAGTGGTTGCCCGAGCAATTAATCTCACGTGGCGCCAACGGTTCTCTGGCATCAGGCCACTCGCCATTTTCTGAATCTACTGTTTACAAGGCAAGCCACTACGGGCATAGTCGAAAAGTATTAAAAATGAAATCCGCAGCTCACAATGTCGAGCCATTCACTTAGCTCAGTAGCTGGTTGACTATGCTCTTTAATTGTAGAGTCCATGTTTGTTGATTAGTACAAAGTCAACAGAGACTCTGTAATGTGCTTATTTCCGCTAATAAGATATACCAAACAGTCGTATTGTTCCTGTCAGTTAGATAATTGGACAGTATTTGAACTAGCATATTTTAGCAATGTAAGCCGCCGTGGTCTATCGACTAGACGCTCGCATGCGCATCGGAAAGTTGTGTGTTCGCTTTATGACAGAAACCAGACTTTTTTTTTTTTCAGAAATGACCAGCTCGACCTCGTCTTGAGTTGGTACCAGGTACAATCCTGGTAAGTAAAAGCGATCGGCGTAATGCTGACCATATCACCCACCAAGTGCCGTTTGGTCTATAAGATATAGGTCTAGCCCTTTATACCCAATACGCCTGAAAGTAGTGGGAAAAGGGACCTTTACTTTATATTTTTTTTTTAGCAGAAGTTACATGGGTGACAGAATATAATGTTATGATTGGCAGTCAAAGACAGAGAGACGTACATAATTTTGTACGCACAGGGAAACCGATAGACACAAAGATGACACAGAGTGGATTCTGGCTGACCGACCGACCAAACAATTGGCAGATAGCACATGAACCGAGCAACCGAACGGCAGTCCGCAGACAGGCTGACAGATAGATAGATATATAAGATTACATTAGTCTAGCTTACATTAGACTAACAGACATATATAATGATAGACAGACAGCCAGCCAGCCAGCCAGCCAGCCAAGACAGCCAGCCAGCCAGCCAGACAGACAGACAGACAGACAGACAGACAGACAGACAGACAGACAGACAGACAGACAGATAGATAGATAGATAGATAGATAGATAGATAGATAGATAGATAGATAGATAGATAGATAGATAGATAGATAGATAAAACGAACGAACGAACGAACTTTTTTTTAAAGGGATACACATTGGGCACGCAGGCCCGTCTTACATTCGGCCCTTTTAAACACCCGTCTTTCACACTGCAGCTGTATTTTATCAAAAAGCATGTAATATTTATATGATAATATGCATACTATGAATATCAAAAAGAGAAGGGAAAAAAACAAACAAAAGAATAGCATGCACACGCACACACACACGCACACACACCCATACACTCACACACCAACATACCTTCACACATACATAAACACACCCCCTTCATCCACATACAAAGCTACATACCCACACAGACACGCACTCACTCAACACACCCACGTACCTTCACATACATATAAACACACCCCATTCACCCACATACAAAGCTACATATCCACACAGACACGCACATTCCACACACATACAAACATACATATATAAAAACAGAGACACACCCATATAAACAAATGCAGAAACATACACACAAACATACATACTCGCACATACCCAATCACACACGCAGATACACACACACAGACACATATGCACAAACACACGCAGACTCAACCACACAAAGATACACTCGGAGACACACAAACACACACACAATCGCAGACACACACACGCGCGCTGATGCTCACGCAGATACACACACACATCCACAGACACACACACGCAAACACATACGCAGACATACATATACACAGTCACACACGCAGATACACATACACACACATGTTGACACATCCAGAGACACTACACACCGAGATACACACAGAGACATACA